TTGTTCTTGGTGAACAGAAACCAACTGCTGTGTCTTGGACGACCACTGGCAAGCTTTTAAGACTCCAGACACTACGTAACAAACTAGAGGTAGAACAGAATTGGCCTAATTATTAGGCCAGTTAACTAAGACAGCCTATGAAACCATGACCCTAAACTTCCAAAACTAAAGAACCAAATCCCATTAGGTATTTGGTTGTACATAACAGCCTCAGCAACTACTTTTTTTTCCGTCACTTTTGTGTATTTATCAGTTTTGCCAATTCAACTTTTTACAGGTATGTAACTTATTGACAGCAATTACAATCAGCTGTGCAACCCTACTCTTAATCAGTACAATTTTTCCACACCCCTCCTTCCTACCCTCCAGGTAATCACTTATAAACTCTGGTTTCTATGAATTTATCTCTTCTTATCTTTTAATGTATGCTATGCTTGAGCTCACTGTCACAGCCACTGTGTCAATCTATTTCACTGAGTGTCTTCCTCTTTTTTGCTGACCCTACCAAGCATGAAATCCTTCTCCAGCGACTGGTCCCTTCAGACAACATGACCAAAGTACTAAAGTCTGGCCATTCTCACTTTCAAAGAGCATTCCAGCTGTACTTCTTCCAAGACAGATTCATTCATTCATCTGGCAGTCCACAGTACATTCAATATTCTTCACCAACACCACAAGTCAAATGCATCATTTCTGCAGTCTTCCGTATTCATTGTCCACCTCTCACATGCATATGAGGCTACTGAGAATATCACAGGTTGGGTCAGGCGCACCTTAGTCTTCGGAGTGATGTCTCCAAAAGGTCAGCAGTTCAAACTCATCAGCTGCTCTGCAGGAGGAAGATGAGGCAATCTACATCTGTAAAGATTTATGGCCTTGGAAACCCAGTGAGAGTCGCTATGAGTCAAAATCAACTCAAGGGCAATGGGTTTCGGTAGGTTTTACAGCAAATGTGCCCAATGTAAATACATTGTTTTGGTGTGTTTTAACTTTTTTTTAGACTCCAGACACTACATAACAAACTAGAGGTATAACAGAACAAATCCTTATTGTCATTTGGGTGAAAGTTTACAAAGCAAATTTGTTTTCCATTGAACAGTTTATATACATTTTGTTTCATGACAATGACTGCACAATGTAACAGCTCTCAGACAGCTTCTTCCTTGAGTTACTTTTCCCTGAGTCCTTTATTTCCTATGCATTCCTGCCCTCTGAGTTTCTCCCTGGGCAAATGCTCCCTTTCTGGTATAATTGATTATCCCACAGGCCTGTCGACTGTTTGGCTGAAAGTTAAGCCAGGGAGTGAGTTCAGTTCAGGCCCCAAGGGTGACTAGGGGACAGAATCTTGGGGTTTCTCCAATCTCTATCAGACTAAGTAAACCTGGTGTGGTAGTTATGTTTGTGTCAACTTGGCTGGGCCTGGTTAAGTGGCTGGGCAGCTGGTGGTAGTTATTCCCCATGATGAGACTGGCAATCAATTCCATGGTGGGATCTACCACAAGCAGCTGAGTAGCTGCCTTTGGGATATGGTCTGCTTCCTATATATAAGGAGAAGCCTTGGGAATGGCCTCTAGCTTATGCCATGCTTGGACCCTGCATGTAGCTGTGTCATTGCTCAGCAGCCTGCTATGCTCTTGTGACCTTGGGATTTCCACTGGACTTAAGTTAATGGCCTGCCATGTGGATTGGTAACATTGGGACTATGCCTTTTTACTTGTCAACCTTGGGACTTCTCAGTCTCTGCAGCCAGCAGCTGTCTGAGTGAAGAACACCTCTAGCTCCAGTGGGCCGGGAGCAGGAGGCAGAGCTGGACCCCACGGTTGAGGGGCTTTCACTCAGCCCCTAGAGCCTGGCACTTTGAACTTGGACTTAAAGCCTCCAAATTTTAAGAATAACTCCTGTTTGTTAAGGCATTTGTGGTATATTTCTTGTCAGACTGGCACTAGGTAACTGGAACACAGGTGTTTTTTTTTTTATCATTTTGAGTTTTGTTCTACATTTTTCTCTCAATCTATCCAGGATCTCCAATTTTGATCTCTTGCCAAGTGATTGGTAGTGGTAGCCAGGCATCAACTAGTTCTGGTTTCAGGGTCATGCAGGCTGAGGTTCCCATGGTCTACCAGTCCTTTGGACTAATTGTTTCCATGTGTCTTTGATTCCTCACTCTTCTTTGTTCCAAAAGAGAAGAAAGCAATTGCTGCATCTTAGATGGCCGCTTGCAAGCTACTCACTAAAACAGGATGTAGGACAATGTTTTTCTGTAGTATGCTATGCCAGTTGAGCTTGATGCCATGATCCCAAGACCACAGGCCCAGTGTATTGTCATTTGCTTTCTTAACTACTGTTTCCATAGGCAATGATTATGGATCCAAGTGAAATGAAAGCTTGACAACCTTCTTTTCTCCATTTATCATGATGTTGCTTACTGGTCCTGTTTTGAGGATTTTTGTTTTATACTGAGGTATAATCCATACTGAAGGCTGTAGTCTTTGATCTTCATCAGTAAGTGCTTCAAGTCTTCTTCATTTTCAGCAAGCAAGGATGTGTCATCTACATATTGCAGCTGATTAATAAAATCTTCCTCCAATCCTGATGCCAGGCTCTTCATCATGTAGTCCAGCTTCTCAGATTATTTGTGCAGCATACAGACCGAATAAGTATGGTGAAAGAATACAACCCTGATGCACACCTTTCCTGATCGGAACCATGCAGTGTCCCCTTGTTCTGTTCAAAGGACTGCCTCTTGGTCTATGTACAGGTTCCTCATAAGCAGAACTAAGTATCCCCTTATTATATTATCCTTTTTATTTCTGAAACATTGGTAATCTTGTCCCTTCTTTCATCCTGTTTTAATAATTTGAGCCTTCTCTCTTTTTTTCCTGGTCAGTCTAGCAGGTGTTTGTCAATTTTATCGATCTTTTTCCAAGAACCAACTTTTAGTTTCATTTATTTTTCACTATTGTTTTTTCATTCTTTATTTATTTCCACTCTAATCTTTATTAATTCTGTCCTGCTTTCATTAGGTTTAATTTGTTCTTCTTTTTCTAGTTTTTAAAGTAGACAGTTAATTTAGTGATTTGAGATTTTTCTTTACTTAATAAAGGTGTTTACAGCTATAAATTCTCCTAGCTACATCCCATACATTTTGGTATGTTATGTTTCCATTTTAATTCAAAGTATTTTCTAATTTTCCTTGTTTTACCTATTTATTTATTTATTTATTACCCATTGATTTTTTAGGAGTGCACTCTTGAATTTCCACATATTTATGAAATTTCCTGTGTTACTGATTTCTAATTTCATTCCATTATGTTTGGAGAACGTATTTTGTATGATTTTAATCCTTTTACATTTATTGAGATTTGTTTTATGGCCTAACCTATGTTCTATAGTATATGTTTCATGTGCACTTAAAAAGACTGTTTATTCTGCTGTTGGTGGGTGGAATATTCTGTAGATGTCTGCTAGGTATACTGTTTTATACTATTCAAGTCTTATTTCCTTGTCTAGTAGTTCTGTTCCTCATCAAACTTCTTATTCCAAATGGCAACACCAGTTAGGATTACGGGTGTTCACTATCTGACTCTTCACCCTAGTAGAGTGCATGCGCTGCTAACACCACGTCTGTATAGCCAAAGAAGGTTCTGGAGTTCAACAACTTCTTCTTAGGCTTCATTATGACATCATTAACAAAAATTGTAATGGGAAAATAAACGAATTCCATGCCCTGACCTCTTACTGTATAAACATTTTAGTTTTACTACAATTGTCTCCTAGAAACTGAATTTATTCCTATCCCTACTTCCGCAAATGCCCTAAGTATACTGGGAGGTCCTTGGTGGCAGGATTCCTGTTAACAGAGTGACTGGCAAACAAGAACTTTTCCTGATGGCAGCCTCACCTGCTTTCACCCACCCTCAAACTAATCTCCTGTAACTACTCCAGTGTGATGTGTGACTGCAGCTGAGGGAAATCCATACCACTGTGGATTTGAGTTTGGTCAAGTCTGTGGCTGAAGAAAGGAAAATATGAGTTCAGCTGCCCCAAGGTATTCAAGCTACTCCTTGAATTTCAATCTGTGGCTTCCCAGGGATTGACTGAACTGCTGGGCAGCACATTATATCAGTCAAGTCCTTAACCAACAGGCTGCTACCCAAAGACATGAGGGATCAATACCCTGGGCTTTCTGCCTTCCTTTTTATTATTATTATAGTTCTTAAAATATCCCAAATCCTGCTAACACCATCCTCTCCTGCCATCTCCACTCAGAAACTTGAGCTGTTGTTGTTGTCATTATGTGCCGTCGAGTCGGATCTGACTCATAGCGACCCCTCCTTGGCTTTCCAAAGTAGTATCACTACAGAAGTAGATTGCCCCCTCTTCCAAGAAGTGGCTGGTGGGTTTGAACCGCCAACCTTCTGGTTAGCAGTCAAGTGCCTTAGGCACTATGCTACTAGAGCTGCTGACACTTGAGCAGCCCAGGTTAAAAAAAATAAATGAAAGTTTCAAGCACATCTATCTTTGGATATTTTACTAAGGCATGATTAGTTGCCTTAGAATTTCACTTTCCATTAAAAGGATTGTTCCAAAGTCACAAGATCATCTTAAGGAAAACACATCCACATTTTCTATCACTACCTCAATAACACATGATTTAATTTTTTAGATACAGTTTTTCTTCTATTTAATGAAGCCTTCCCTAATCTGACAATGGAGACCAAGTCAGGCATGCAGATCAAATCCAGATCTCACATTATTTTGTACAAACTGGAATAGCAACACTACACAGGGCCTAATCTGCTTACTATATAAATTAAAATGCACAAGAAATTTCAGATATTATTTTTCCTAAAGCAATTAACTATACAAATATTAATAGTTCAAGACATGAGCCTTCATTACTATATTTTAACTAATTTGATCTGAGTTTTATGAGAAGCTGATTTTCTATTAATCAACGCAGAAGTCTGCAAAAGGTCATAACCCAAGAGAAGACTTACACCACAGAGCAAGCATAGCATCCTTTCTTGCTACTCTCTCGAATTAAGAATGCACCATCAGGTTTTCCATAAAGCAGGTCTTCTGCTTGTACTCGATTGATATCCTCAACAAACCAGGTTTTCTCATCATAATGGGGCAGGTTTTCATCTTCCTCATTCATAAAATATGTCCTAAAAATTAATGTTAAAATATTATTTTAACAATCAGGGTAATTATTTCTAAAAGCAAATTTATAAATAAAGCTCGCTTCTATTCTAAATCTTTAACCACAAAAGGATAAATTGCTGTTAGTTTGGGTTGGATTTTGTTTTGTTTTTTAAGATTTCACTACTTGCTATGATGTAGAAAGCACTGAATTCCTATGTCCCACCCAATAAACTGAAATATGAATGCCTACGTGCGGATGCATACAGGTTTTATGTGGCTGGACAGGTCTCTGAACTCAAGAGCCTATGGGGTATTTTTCAGGCAATTCATTTCAAAAGAAATGCAAAGTTCTGGATCCAGTGTTCTCAGTTGACAATGAGAACTAATATTTAGCATGTACAAACAAGGCCCATGTCTTATATTGGGAACAAAGCCCTCTGACAGAAAGGTACAGAGAGAACATACTCATCGACATCCTCATTCTTGATGCCTAGCCAGGCATTCAGACGCTTCTGTCTCACTCCTTTATGATTGAGCCATCTGCCAGAAGGAAGACACCAGTGTCAATATCTGTGCAAACTTTGCCTAGACAAATAGTCATGCCCCAGCCAACCAACTTCCCAGAGTCTAGGAACCCCTTTTCTTCCCCAAACTCATAAAGAGAGGCCAGAGATTTCCCTAAATTAGTCTCTCCACTAATTCTCCTTCAACTAATACCATTATAAATTAATCCCTTCTGTGAAAAGGAATACAGAGAACTACTTGAAATTAAGTACCTGTCTCACTCTTCATTTTCCTTTTTTAGAAGGGTGTATCACCACAAGCACACATATACTTGCATTCATATATAGACTTTTGTTTCTGGAATTACTTGACGAGCATAGTGCCTTTTTATAAAAAGGCCATCTCTGCTAAACCAGAAGACCTTATTCCTGTGTGGCCTATGGAATTGAGCTAAAAACTCAAAAAACAAAATTAAAGGTGAATTTTTGCCCTAACCAAGGCACAAGAAATTCAGGTGGCAAAATGAGTATTTAATATTGCTTTTACTTCACTTCCAGGCAAATCAAAGTATCCTAAAATCTACTAACATTTTAGATATGAAATTATATAAATAAATCATCACAATTAGTTCCTCTGAGATGGCCAATGGTCTAAAATCAGAGTGGAATATAAAACACTTTGATCTATCCCCACCCCCTAGCCAAGGTTCCTGATCATTTAGGCCTCATCACAAACACAATCTCCTCAGGGAAGACTCCCTTGATTGTCCTATTAAGGCCATCCCCCAAACACTCTCTACATTTTACCTTACTTACTTTATGATGCTCATACACTTCCCTGTGCCTGAAATTAATTCTATTTTCACTTGTCTGTCTCTCCCCCGACCTCCCTATTAAAATGTAAGCTGTTTTAAAGAAAAGAGTGTGTTCTGTTCATGGCTGTGTCCCCAATGCTTAAACAGTGCCAACACACAGGAGATACTCAATAAATCAGTAGCAAATATTTCCTGGCTGGATGCTTTTAACAAAATCTTCACAACTTTGAAGTATACAGGGTCATCTTGCATCTATCTCTGACCCCAAATACACTAGATAACTTGGCATCACACCTAATTTAAACTTCTTTTAGACAGATTCCACAGGTTTTCTTAGTTAGGCTCATCCTTCACTTAACCTGGATCTCATATTTTACGTTTAGTGAAGGTACAAGGCAGCTAATATATGACCTTTCATCAAACTGACTTAGTAACAAATCCCCTTCTTTACCATAATTTCTCCTAGCAAAATATCCAGATACCCTCTTCTAAATATTTTTATCACCAAAAGTTTTCTAACCTTAAAGAAACTGGCATTTCCTTTATTAAAGAGAAAAGCACAATAAATAAAAAAGACTTGAGAACAAACAAACTGCACCCATTTTTCTCAAGTACCCATTTTCTTTTACCACCAACCTCTTTAAACTGAACCTCCCTCCATTGTCAGAGAGAGCGTTAGGACATCCTGAAAAAGAAAGGCCAGGAGAAACAGAATGTCTTTTGTTCTCCTTCCACTGCTTAGACAGTAAAAATCTTCAGAGCCAGCACTTGACAGGACTGCCTTGTTTTTCTGGGCCTTGTAAATTTTCCATCTTTGACAGGGTGCAGTCTTACCACTTTTCTATTGCATATTTTAGTGGCAAGTATTTCAGTTTTCCTTCTCTGACAAGTGTCCACCTTACACAGGTTCTACTGTAACAGAGTCTACCTTCTGATGTAGGCAGTGTTTCAACACCCCTAAAAGTCAACTGGAAAAAATACTAAACAGTTCTCTGGAGGACAATATGCTAAGTGAAATAAGTCAAACACAGAAACACAAATACTGTATTAGTTCACTACTGTAAAAAGTCAAGGAAAGGTTTATATATGGAAGGATATATATTGTTGGTTACCAGGGGTAAGAAGTGGGGGAGGGAACACTGCTAGATAGGTAGAGATAAATATTGATTTAGGTGAAGGGAAGGGCAATGTACCAAAAGGGAGTGACCAAAACAATAACACTAAGGAAAGGAAGATACAAAAAAGTATACAAGAGGTACAGACAACAAAGATAAACCCTTTTACATAGACAATACTTCATTATCAGTGATACCAAAAATTAATCTACAGGTAAATAGATGGGTAGACAGGCTGAATGATCAGATATGTCTAGGCAAAAGGAAATATACCCATGACCATATATAAGGTTAAGAGGAACACTGGTGGCATAGTACCTAAGACATATGACTGCTAACCAGAAGGCTGGCAGTTCAAACCCACCAGCCACTCCTCAGAAGGAAGGCTGGGAAAGCTACTTCCACAGTGATACCACCTCAGAAACCCAAGGAGGGGTTGCTATGAGTTGGATCCAATGGCAGTAAGTTTGGTTTTTTTAATATATAAAGTTGGCAGATGATGTTTCTGCATACATATTTTATGTATTGTAAGAATGTCCATATAACTAGAACTAATAGGGAGCAAAGTATGGTAACTTCTTCGGTACAGTCAACCACCCTGACGTAGCTAGCTGTTGAACCTATGGCTCAGGACCATGGTCACAGGGGACATATCAAGCTCAACTGGCAAAATACACTACACAAAAACATTGTTCTACATCCTGTTTTGGTGAGTAGCCACTGGAGCCTTAAAAGCTTGCAAGTGAAAGTTCCAATAAGATGGCGGAATAGGCAGACAAACTACACAGCTCCTCTTCAATAAAGAAAAGGGGAACCAATTAACACAGATGCAGAAGATAGTCCTGGAGCACTGAGCTTTGAAAGGAAGGATACAGAAGTGGACTAAACTCCAACTAGTAAAAGAACCTGCAAGAAAACACTGAAAAAGAAGACATATGTAGCTGCGGTCTGTCAGTGATCCTGATGGCATGGACAGCATGGATATTGTCAAGTGGTGTTAGGACTAAAAAATAATCCAAAAACCATCCCTGCCAGCCAGGGGCCACACAGAGCATTGCACTGGTGGGTGGTGAGTAAAAAGGGAAGCAGCAAAGAGGGAGAGGAGCTAAGCCACGGACTTTTGGCTGTCTGGAAGGCACATCCATTTTGAATGTTTACAAGCAGTTCAACCATTTTGGATACTTCAAACGACAGCGTTCTCTCAGATTCCAGGGACCTGAGAATAGGCTCCTCTTGCCGAGGACATTCCAGACACAAATAATTGGCAAGGTGAGATATTCCCCTTGTTACCTATACCCCACACCCTCTTGGTGAACAGAGGTGCAGCCATCCCCTACTACATCTAATCAGAATTCCAGAACAGGAAGAGAAAAAGAAAACCACTGAGAAAATTGTCCAAGATTTGTTGGAAGAGAACTTCCCTAATATGATGAACGATAATATATTCATTCAGGAAGTCCAACGAACCCAATCAGGATAGACCCCAAAGAAAATCACCAAGACATATCATCATCAATCTCATCAAAATCAAAGACAAAGAATCTTGAAAGTAGTATGGGAAAAACTAGAAGTTACCTAAAAAGGACAACAAATAAGACTATCCTCTGATTTCCAAGCAAGTGAGAAAGCAATGAGATGATGGTATATATAAAACCCTGAAAGAGAAAAATTTCCAACCACGAATTATATACCCAGCAAAACTGTTCCTCAAATATGATGGTGAAATTAGATTTCCAGATAAGCAGAAATTAAGGGAATTAGTTAAAACCAGCCCAACCTTACAAGAGAGACTAAAAGGAGTCCATTGAACAGAGAACCAATAATAGCAAACAACAACTGACCATTAATACACAAGTGGACATAACCCAGAAACCAACAGAGCTATGTTGTCGTTGTTAGGTGCCATCGAGTCAGCTCCGACTCACAGCGACCCTATGCACAGCAGAACAAAACACTGCCCCAATCCTGTGCCAGCCTCACAATTGTTGCTATACCTGAGCCCATCGTTGCAGCTGCTATGTCAATCCATCTCATTGAGGGCCTTCCCCTTCTTTGTTGACCCTCCACTTTACCAAGCATGATATCCTTCTTCAGGGAATGGTTCCTTCTGAAAATATGACCAAAGTAGGTGAGACGAAGTCTGGCCATTTTCTTTCTGATGAGCATTCCAGCTGCAATTCTTACAGGACAAATTTATTAGCCCTTTTAGCAGACCATGGTACTCTTAGCATTCTTCTCCAACACCACAATTTAAAAGCATCAACTCTTCTTCAGTCTTCCTTATTCACTGTCCAGTTCTCACATGTATAAGAGGTGACTAAAAATACCATGGCTTGGGTTAGGTGCACCTTAGTCTTCGAGGAGACATCTTTGCTCTTCATCACTTGAAAGAGGTCTTTGGCAACAGATTTGCCCAACACAATATGTCCTTTGTTGTCTTGACTGCTGCTTCCATTGGTGTTGACTGTAGAACCATGTAGTATGAAGTCCTTGACAACTTCAATCTTTTCTTCATCCATCTTGAAGCTGTTTGTTGGACCAGTTGTGAGGATTTTTGTTTTCTTTATATTGAGGTGTAATCCATACTGCAGACTGTAGTCTTTAATCTTCATCAGTGAAGTGTTCCAAGTCACCCTCACTTTCATCAAGCAAAGTTGTGTCATCTGAATATCACAGGTTGTTAAGGAATCTTCCTCCAATCCTAATGCTACATTCTTCTTCATATAGTCCAGCTTCCTGGATTATTTGCTCAGCATACAAGTTGAGGAAGTATGGTGAAAGGATACAACCTTGACACACTCCCGTCTTCATTTTGAACAACGCAGTGTCCCCTTGTTCTGTTCAAGCAACAGACTCCTGGTCTATGTTCAGCTTCCCCATGAGTATAATCAAATGTTCTAGAATTCCCATTCTTCTCAATGTTATCCATAATTTGTTATGATCCACACAATCGAATGCCTTTGCATAGTCAATAAAACACAAGTAAACATCTTTCTGGTATTCTCTGCTTTCAGCTAAGATTCATCTGACATCAGCAATGATATCCCTCGTACCACGTTGTCTTCTGAATCCAGCTTGCATTTCTGGAAGCTCTCTGTCAATAAACT